TGCAGAGGTGATGTTAGCACCTGATGTAGGCTGAGCTGGGTCTTCCCTGCAACCAGGGAAGGAATGTGGTTCTCCATGGGGTGAACAGTTACACTGTAAGGCCATTGCGTTCTTTTCCACCCCTGACTGTACAAGGGCCTACAGGGATGTAGGTACTTGAGATGTGGTAGAGGGTCTGTACGCCCTTTGGGCAGAATTCCTGCCTAACGCAGCCACTGTTGGAAATGGCATGGGAAAAACTGAATTAAGAATATGTAAGAAAACCTTGATGTTCACTTGCTGTAAAGGTTGCTCCCAGAGTGGATATCAGCATATTAAGAAACCATTCCATCAGTTTTTCTGTCATGTTGTGGGGGAAAAGAGGATAAAATGGATTCATTGCCCTCCTGTTGGAGGGTCTAGCCATATACCAATGGAAGAACAATTCCAGTTTACTCCCTTATGGCCATTAAACACTTGGAACAAAACAGTTAATAGCAGCAAGTAGCTTAGGTTAATAATTAAACATGCCCAATGGACAGCACTGAGCTGTCTGACAGAGTCATTGAGACTTTTGAGAAACTAGTCTGGTGGGTTTCAGCACACTGTGACTCAGTTCCCCACGCAGGGACTGAGTTTGACTGCCTAACACGACCTCAGACTGAAAATTGCAGTAGAGCTGGCATCAAAGGGGTGGAGCAGTTGCATTTGTACTGGACCCTCTGCACTTCACTCAGAGGAATGGAAGAAGAACAAATTGAATAAGGTAAGTAATACCAGAAAAAGTCCTAATAAGAATAATAAAAGTAAACTTAAATGATCTTTTATCCACCTGCTTTGAAATTCAAGGTTTGCATGTATCAGGACTCTGACCTCTGCAAATTGCAGTTATGTTAAAATGTGCAAGAAAAACAGGGAGAATAGTTACAGTAGGCTTGTGGAACCATAAGCAATAGAAACTTAGAAGATGGCTTTATGGGAACAGCATATTTGCCATAGTTATGCCCAACTCTCACCCCTAAGAGTGTTGCTCTTCAGTTGCATCTTTTCTAGGGTGCTAACCCACACGTCTTCCACTGTGCAGCCCTGATTATCTCTGCTCTTACCCAGCAGCTCTGTGGAGGCTTTTTGTTTGAGAAGTTGTGACCATGATGTATACTGTTTGGATGATCCTAAACCCATGTTTATGGTAATAGCAATAGGGGAGGAAGCATGTGGAAAATAATCAGTTTTGCTGCAAGTTTGCCTTTCCTAGAGGACCAACCAGCAGACTTGGTTTCTTGAACACCCACTGTGTTCTACTCTAATCTTGCCAAAAAAGTGTACTCTGAAGGGAGGGAGAGATGCTTTAGAGGCTGTGCAGTATCTCCTTTAGTGTCCATTTTAGACTAGGAGTGCCCTTTTGAAGCAAGGCTTCTCATCTCCAGATAATGTGATTTGTTTTATACCTCAGAACTGTCTCAGCGAACAGATGTCAATCCTTCTGGATAAATTCAAAGACAAGCACCAAACAACACTCCAGGCATCAATGGATGTTCAGTGCTTGGGACTAGGCTAGAACTAGTGCAGTGTGTAACACCCTAAATGCTTGCAGTGTGGATGTTGGGTCTTCAGCACACGTTTTGATGCGTTGATCTGCTTCTATTGGGTTGCGCAACAAATGTGGGCATGACTTCATCCTGGATTTTGTCTTCTCCTGCATTATCACCAAATACTTTGCTGCCCAGTCCTGAGCAATTATTTCTGTTTTCTATTTATTTCCTCCCTTTCCCATGAGGTTAGTATACTGTTATCAAAAACATCCCAATTACCAAATCAGTTTTGGGAGCCCCTGGGTGCTTGCAAAACACTTCTCCAACCTTTCACCAAGCCTTGAAACTCCTTTACTGCATTATCTGGCAAAGGCCAGGCAAAGAAACAGGAACAGAGAAGCAAGTTTCCTTCCCTCTACTTTGCTCTTAAGTACATAATGTTCAATGCCCCAACAATTAATTAATCAACTTGGACTCAAGTTGACCCCATCTTCTATTCAGTGTTCAAGAACACTTTCAGAGAACCATAGAATGGTTTGGGTTGGAAGGGACCTTAAAGCCCATCTAGTTCCAACCCCCCTGCCATGGGCAGGGACACCTTCCACTAGACCAGGTTGCCCCAAGCCTCATCCAGCCTGGCCTTGGACACTTTATGCCTATAGACCACAGATCACTTCTCTGCATGGGTCAGTCCTTTTGAAAATGACTTAAAGCATTGGGTATTCTTAACCATTGGAGCAGAACCAGACCCATGGTTGTGTGTGTGGGGTTTTTCCCCTCCCCCCTTCTTCAAATAGTGTTTTCTTTAATGTAGTTGTTTATAAACTCAATTAGGTTCATTTTCATGGGTCTTACAGAAGCCAACACAGCAGATAGCACTATGGATGGTTTTTAGGCTTTCTCAAGTGACCTGACAGGTGCTCCTCAATGTACAAGTGGGCTTGAATCAGTGCAGTGTATATATTAATGAAGCAAGACCACTGCATGGAAGAACACATGAGCTCTTGGTATCATCATCCTGAGGAGGAACTGGGCCTTAAGAGAGTTGAGGTCTCTTCTTGTCCTTTGTTTCAATGGCTGACTGGTGGAATGTGAAAGACTGTCTGCCTTTGCATCATTTTGCTCTTCTACATGGGAGACATGGATTCCCCCTTTGAGAATTACTAATTATACAGTGCCCCATCCAGGGTTTGTGGATTTTGCCCTTTAGGTCCTACCACAACAGCAATCCAAAATCCTAAATTAGCTCCTTGCCATGTGGTTTTATCTTTGTCTGGGTCTTTTGTGATCTGAGCTGAGTGTTAACAATGAAAAGATGTTCTGGGTAAGGGGAACGGTCCCCCATGAAAAGCAGGTGTCCCAGTCTCTGTGCTTACCAGTGAGAATTTGAGATTCTTGCTCATTTATACATGTGGCTAAATTGCTTGACCCATGGTTATTTCCATACTAGTACAAAACCCAGAGTGAAGGCACTAAAGTTGATGGTCTGTATTTTTAAAAGTTAGAACAGTTCCTGGCATGGACTTTTTAAAGGGAATGTGTGAGATATCTGGCTGTGATAACAAGTAAGGCCAAGGAACTTTCTGGTTTACATGGACTCAAAATTTTATTTTCTTAACTTGTTAGAACAGTTCACAGCTGTTGTGATCAAATCTACCAGTGCTCTTGCAAACAATTCCTAGGCACACCTAGAAGCCAGCATGGACCATTCCCAGCTTAGGGGTAGCTGTGTAAGGCTAGAGAGCTTAATAGTATAGTCAGGTTTGGCCATTTGTCTTTGGAGATGGAGAATGACCATGGCATGGTTTAGTTTAATGTAATATATGCAACAATTTTGCATGAAGCAGAAAAGAATGAGGAGAGTTTGACACTGTTGACTCTAAATCCTGTAATTGCTTTCACTGAAAGCCTGACCCCAGTGGGGGAAAGCTCATCCTGCGCTTGGCTGGAAAGCCGTCTGCTCGGAGGGACATACATTCTATATAGGCCTGTTGGGTGGGAGGAAAATGAGTATGGTTTGCAATATATTGATGCTTTACAGGTGTGAGAGGTGAATCAGTGTATTCTGTGATTTCATGTTGCAGTCCATGTTGTCTGCTATAACACAGACCGTTGGTCCCACAGGTTTTTCAATGTGAAAAAAAGAATACAGATGAGGTTGGTTTTAATGTTACAGGGAAGACCCTAAGGCCCCGAGCCATGATTCTGGAGCCAATCTCTTGTGAAATCCCCACCCAGAGTTCAAGATGAACCCTTGGAGATGGTCCCTTCTGAGTGCTGAGCTGATGTTCTTTGCAGGTGGGTGATGGAGAGGTGTCTCTGACCACGCTGGTCATACAGCACCAGCAAAATCCGGTGCCACTGGGTTGGGTATGGACTGACTCTGAGTGGGACATGGATAAGCATCTCTAAAAGGTGCTGAATATTATGGGATATTGACTGCAGCATACGGAACATCGTCCACCCTTGTCAGTGGCTTTTCATGGCATTATTTCTGTAGCAAGTGAAGATTTCTGGGTCCATTGTTAATTTTCCCTGTTCTCCCTGGATTCATCTCACGACCATTGGTTTCATTCACTTGATGATAGTTATCACTGTTGCATGTTGATATTAAGGCTTCATGCTTCAAGTGTGTCCACTATTTGGCTTCAGTGATCAATACTGGTGTTCAGTGAGATTGCATTCATGTGCAGCTAAGAAGTTGGAAGTGTCCTGAAATACTAAAAAAAGAAACTGGATATCACTGTAAAAGGACCTCTGAAAAAATCTGATGATTGGCTACAAAAAAACGAAGCCAGCCACTTGTTCATCTTTATTAGAATCATAGAATGGTTTGGATTGGGAGGGACCTTAAAGTTCATCTAGTTTATAGATGATCTAGATGATGAATTAGATAATCTAGTTTATAAATTAGCTTCAGAGGGTGAGAATCCCCAAAATAAATCCTAAATTTTCTTAAGAATTTGCCTTTATGAAAGGCATTGCATAGCAAGTTGCAGGTGACTTAATTTCATGAAGCAGGGCTTCCTTCCCAGGCCTGTGGTCCTTTCCTAAGGACTTGAGAAGGAAAGAGCTGGACAGGCTGTCTTGGAGCTAGAAGAGGATATATTTTGAGGGCAGCCCTAAGTTTGGAGAGTGTACAGAAGTCAACAAACATTTATTTGAGAACTGGAGGAATAGATGTGAGGTTTAGTGTCTTTATTTTAATTCTTGATGAGGACAAGAGGCTCAGACTATTGCTTGGTTCACCAAGTCTTGAAGGCATCAAAACCCCCCTGCTGGGGGGGAAGCAGGACATGGAGAAGCAGCCTGGAGGGTTGGAAGATGAGAAATATGTCTAATTTGGATGCCAGAGAAGGAGAAATGAGGTGAAGGATGGAATCATGGAATGACAGCTGTCAGACCACTATGTGCCATCCTGAATGAGATATTTTAGATGCTTGCATTTCACTTCATCCTGACGTAGCTGGGTTGTTTTTGCAGTGACCGCCATGGGATTGCTCATTAAGCCCCGAGAGGGCAGTGTCGCTGGAGGAACGTGGATTGCTATTACTCTGGATGGTGAGTTTTAAACTCCTATGAAGCACGGGTCAAAGTCACAGAGAATCAGCTCCATTCTGAGATTTGTGGCTGGAGTGGCAAACCCTAAGCAACAGTCACGGGATGTGGCACCCCTAATGTGAAATCTGCTTGAAGTTATTGCCTCATGAGTTGTTGCTGATGGTTGCTTGGTTTTAACTTCTTTTTGAGCGAGAGAAGTCAGATTTGTACCTTATTTTTGCAGATGAAGGGCTAGAAATTTCTTTCTTGTCACCCATTTTTAAAAGAAAAGCTGAAAATCTACTCTGTTCATAGGTCCTCTGATGCTTGAGCCTTAAAAACGCTAATAATAAACATGAGATCTTAGTAAAAAACACATAAATTGATATATCATGTTCATTTGAGCCCAAAACCAACTATACAAAGCTAAGCCTGATTTTCTGCAGTGCTGAATATTGAGTCATTGGGAAGAGAGGTGGTGTCTGAGCCAGCTGTAGGTTCAATTTAGCTGCTCAGGTTCTGGCACTTGGTCACTTATGTCAGAGAGTCATCAAATGGTTTGGGTTAGAAGGGACATTAAAGATCATACAGTTCCAATACCACTGCCATGGGGAGTTTATGACTATGATTAATGATATCAGCCTCATTTGTCTGAATACTGTGCATTCCCTTAGAGGTGATGAAATGGAGGGAAGAAAAGAAGCACAGGTCTTCAAGGGAGATGTTTTCCCAACAGCATTCTATGGCAGTCAGAGACAGTCACAACTGGGAACTCAGTTCAAGCAGAGTGCCTTTTTTATTTTGGTGGGGGGAAGCAAGCAGCCAAGACTGGGGATGGGATGAAAAAAAAGAACCCAACAACCTTCCTGGGACCAGGGGAAAGTATGAATTTTGCTGCAAATCAAGTAACCACTGGGTCCTTAAAGTGGGTCTGTGGCCTGGGAACCATCCGTGGAGACTGTGAGCAAGGGGAGAATTGCTTGTAGCCTTCTGCACTTCTGTTGTATTTCATAATGCTATGAAAGTTAAGCATGCTAGTTTATGTTTAGATAAAACATGTCTTTCAGAAGATTAAAAGTCTGATCTCTAAAGAAATGAGCTAAGCAGATCCACTTTACAGCACAGGCCAACTTGAGGTCCTGTCAGTAAAACTACGCAAGACATCAGCAACTGCAAAGACAGTGTGAAACAGCACTAATTTTGCAGGTGCTTTAAGTATCTATGGACATGTGTTTTTTCCAGTGTAGATGGCTGAAGGCAGTTCAAACTCCCAATAACTGTCAATCTCTGCAGTAGAATATATGTGGGAGAGCCGAAATACTGTATTAGAGGCAAAAAAAGCCATGCAGCAGCATGATGGGGTGAACTTGATCTTAATATGTGTAGCAGTTTGGGCTGGGATGGAATTAAATATCTTCAGAGCAGCTAGTGTGGGACTATGTTTTGGATTTGTGATGAAAAAAATGTTGATAACACACAAATGTCTTTATTGCTGAGCAGTGCTTACACAGCATCAAGGTCTTTACTGCTCCTCACACGGCCCTGTGAGCAAGATAGGGGTGCACAAAATGCTAGGAAGGGACAAAGTTGGGACAACTGACCCCCGCTGACCAAGGGGATATTCCATACAGTATGATGTTATGCTCAGCAATAAAGCTAGGAGGGGAGGTTGGCAGGGTTGAAGGACTGGTTGTACATTGGCTTGGTGGTGGTGAGCAATTGTTTTTGTTTGTATCACTTGTCAGTCTTTGTTTTTATTTTCCTCTTAGTTATTTTTCTCTTTTCCCTATTATTATTATTTTATTTTTAATTATTAGATAGTTTTTATCTCAACCCATGAGTTTTCTCACTTTTACCCTTTTGATTTGTTCCTGACCCCACCAGGGTGGGGAGGAGTGGGTGTCTGTGTAGTGCTTAGTTGCTGGCTGGGGTTAAACCATGGCAATATGGAAGTACACAGATGTGATTAAAAGAGTGTGATTAAGGGCTCTAAGCATTGCTCCAAGAGAGAAGCTGGGTTCTACATTCAAAAATGTTTGTTGTGTGACTGAATGCGAGTGATCTTGTCCTCACAGAGCTCTTGTGATTGATTTTGATTACTTAGGCTCAACATCCCATCAGTTAGAACATGCCTCTTTGACCAGCATGTCCCAGCTGGAGGTATCCCTGGTGAATCCAGACCTGCCCAGGCTGCCATGTGATGTCTCTCCTCTGTTTTTTGACTTACCCACTGTAAGATGCAGAACAAGGTATGATCTGTGACTGTAGTGGGGGTAAGACCTTGCCATTTGTCTGGTAGGTTCCTCATTTTCTTTCACTGTCTGTGCAGGCAGTTTGGGGGTTGAAAGGGTGCTGTGGATGTACTCAAGCACCTCCTAAGCTGTGTTGCATTTATTCTTGTTTCAACTTAATGAAGCACTAGACTACCTAGCATGAGAGTCAGTGAGGCTTTTGGAGAGGCTAGACTCTGATCTTCAAAGGTTTGTAGGCACCTAATTCTTAGATGTAAAGCTCCCAAGAAAATCTTGGTGGGGATGCTACTGGCTTCTGGTGTCCTTGAATTGGCCAAGATCACAGAGGCTGAGTAGAGCAGGAAACAAATATGGTTTCAAGCACCAGCTGGGCAATCCTAGCTCCTTGTTTATTATCTTGTCATAACTTCAAAGAAGGTCGTTTGGTTGGAAGACAAGGTGTGTCTCAAGAGGCTGCAAGGGTAACCCTTATTAGGGGTCTTCCACCTCTTGCTGCTATGATTTGGCTGGGAGTTAGTTCTGCTGAATGCTGTGCTGAGAAACTGTGTGCAGCATTAATTTACAACCAGGATCAAGATGCCCTGTAGATCCAGGCAGCCCTGGGTTATTTTAATACTAATGAATAACAATTATTGTCAGAGCATGTTTAATGAGCATGTCTGTGTTTTGCATTAATGTACAATTTAGATGGGGTTCTGATGTAGTTCTATCACCTTCTGCACTTAACTGTAATTTCTTGTTGTGCCTCCACTTTTCTTTTAAATTGTAATTTTAGAGTTTGGGTTTATACGTGTAAAGTTTGGGTTCACAGTGTAAATTTGCTTTGGCCTGTTGAAGCCTCGGTGGACCTGCTAAGAATGGAGACCTGGTGAAGGACCTGGAATTTCCTAAAAAATAATAATATAACCTATTTTCTTCCACCTAGGTCTTCACCCCAGGAGGGTTTGTATTATGTGGAGGTGATCTTTCAAGGACATGTGATTAACAACCTGACTGAGGTGGAGAAAGAAAACTGTACTTTCAAGGTAACCACCAAGCAAAAATAGAAGTGAGGATAAAGAATTCAGGGGATTGAATGGAGTAAAATTTCAGAATAGTATCACAAAGAATATGTTGAAATTTTCTCTCTCGTACACTTTGTCTGATTGCACATCAGGTCAAGAAGTTAGGATGCTTCTTCTGTCCTTTAAAATTAGGTGCATCGAGGTACTGATCTGTCTGGTTCTGGATAAAAAAGGTGGCCTACGAGGTCTTTCTGAATCAAAAATCTGGGTCCAAGTTAATCTCTCTCTGCTCAATTATTTTGAGAGCTCTCTACTCTCCCCCTGACCAAAATTTTCCGTTTGGCTCTCTGTGTCAAAGCACACTGTCTCAGGAGGTCGTGGGGTATGGTGCTATTAGACCAGTGAACGACAATGGTGTCAGGATGTCTTGCAGAACAGAATCCTTAACCTTAATCCTGTGTGCTCTGGGATGAGGCTTGGTGTGTTCGGAAGTCACGTCCCACCTCTGCGCTAACTTTGACTGTCGAGCAAGAAGAGCCCAGCGTTTTCAGCAAATTGCACATTAAAGCCGAAGAGTCGTTGGGTGGTTCAGCTAGCTTAGGGAGTTGATGAAAAATCACCAGGGGATGCTGTTAATGAGGCACATTCCAAGCTAAATAAAACACAATGCATCTCTTTGTTTTGGGACTGAGACCTGGGAGCTATGTGTATTAAAAATTAATTTTGCCTCCACACTAGATTGAAAAAGCCCGCTGCAGGCAGCAACAAGTCTCAACAGCTCGGAAGACTTGTGTCAGCCCGTGGCCCTGGCTTTCACGCTGGTTTTGGCTTCTTTCTCTACATCAGCTCCAGTTCAGGGCATGGTGTGATGCTGCCTTTGCTTTTCAGGCATGGCCATCACTGGAGGGACATTGTGGCTACGAGTTAATTTTTCCTATCACCATGAGCAGGAGGGAAGGTGAAAACTGAGCTTTGAAAGGGAGTGGCATTCAAGGAAATATTAGAAAAAAAAATGTGCAACATATGTAATGATGTCTTTGCATTCACCAAATGAGTGGTTTTTATGCTATTTATTGGGCTGATAGCAGCAGTTGTAAGTGTGAGGGCAGGAGAGGGCTCAAAAAGAAGGTGGGGAATATGATGTGTGGAGAAAGCTCTGAGAAATGGCTGATTTGGAGAATGGGGACACATGGGAAAAGTACTTTTTCTGTAAGGTTAATGAAGTTAATCAGCTAATGGCTTAGATGGAAACAAGATTTATCCAGCTAGCAGTACTGAAGGCCAGGTTTATGGAGGTATTTGTAGCTTCTAAGAAAGCAGACAAATGGATTTTAAGAAATTTGAACAAACCAGGTGCCTTTTTTCATCACTTTAATCCCAAGAGCCATAAATACCTTGATAGATCTGCCCCTTGCTTTTCACATAATGATTTTAATTTCCAGAGTGCCAAATGCTGCACTGAGGAAAGGCGATGACATTACTCTTATTTTCCAGAGCAGATACCTGAGGAATAAAGAACGGATGGGGTTTTGCCAAGGTCTTCCTGTAAAATGCAGGGCTGTGGCTGTTCGGAAGGCAGGGTCAGGATGTGGTCTCTCATTTAGCTGCTGCTCCTTGCTGATTTTTTTTTTCTGTTTTGGGTGATGGCAAATCTGCTCCCATTAGACAGTGTGGATCTGGCCACCTTCTTTTTAGTGTAGGGAGAGAGTTTTCCTACATGGTTATAAGCCATGTTCTTCCCTGGGCCAAATATAGTTGGATTCAGTGAACTTAAAGGTCTTTTCCAACCTAGATGATGATACGATTTTAAATAGCAGGTTTCTTTATTACTTTATTTATTCATATAGTTGTAGTCTACGAGCCCACCTTCCCTTTCCATAATTTCCCTTGTGGCTTTCCCAAGATACCCACCTCTTTCATTGCCTGTCCAGGTACATGCCCACTGACATTGAACCACACTGTCTCAGCTACATCACCTTGTTACAAGATGATATGCAGCTAACCCAGCACCGGATAATACCTAGTGTGCTAGAGACAGCTCCTCACCCACAGCAGGATTTTTTTTAAACACTTCCAAAGGATTTCCATCGCCTTTTTGTTTCCTTTAGTCCTGGGATCCACATGCTCGATTTAGACATAACGCACTTCTTAGCTGCTGAAGCCATCAATTTATTTATCCCATTTGGTTTGCCATCTTCCAGGGAGGGACAGGGATGTTCACAGAAAATATTGTCCCCATGTGAGTTAACAGCATGTGGAGGACCATGCGTGCCTCTGACCACTCTGCAGATGAGTCATGCTCCCACACAGTGCCATTTGAACAGAATTGGTGTCAGCCTGGGCAAAGAAAAAAGTCTACAGTAATTTTGGTTAAAAAGTCTCACAGATTTTTTTGAGTCAGCTGGAGAAAAGGGGCAAAAGGCTGCTCTACTTATCGGAAATGCAGTCAGAGCATGTGCTGGGTCAGGTATCAGTGTGTCTCACCTACTTTGGGAGGCTAATGATGACCCTCCTCCACTAAGAAAAGATCCCTGTGTATTCCACATCTTCTGAGCAGCTTTCTTCAAAGCACAATCTCTCTACTTCTTCTTAGACTCTAAGTCAAAAACAATATCCATTAGCAGATTTTTGGTATTGTCTTGCTGTTCCCTCAGACGCCAAGTTAGTTCTTTCCCAGAGACACCTCTGATGTATTATAGTCTATTAAGCTGGGCCAATACAAGTGTTTTCTTTTAATACTCTGCCTTAGGGTAACCAACAAGCTTGCTAAAGGCTAGTTGAAGTATTTCACTTCTGTGATGTAGAAATAGTTTTTAGGTGTATATTACTAGGAAGAAAAATGATGCCATAATTCAAGATAAAATGGAAGTCTCAACTTGAGATAAAGCATGGCTTAGAAATTTTGTAGTGTATTAATGCATATCTTCTGGAATTGACTCAACCAGGATGGACAATTTGGGCAGAAAAGAGGATGTAAAAATAACAGTAAGCCATACCCTGAGTGCAGAGGGGACAAGAAGGGGATATTTGTACTCAGTCCCTTTTCAGAGCAGGCCTCTGCTTCAAAGATCAAATCTGAAGTGTGTGTCTCAAATGCGGTTGCCAACTGTGTTGTGAGCAATGCGTAATCAGATCTCGTTGGGCTGCTGCGAAAATGACTGCCATTTAACTACAAATTTCTCTTTGCAGTTCTCTGCTGTGCAGACACCTGTGGTTTACCAAATTAGTCCACCATCTGGCATCCCAGGTACAGGACCTTTCTTTGAGCTGGGGCCCACTTTGATTATTATTTGATGTTCCATACTGTCTTTCTCCTTATGAGGGATCTGGCTGGCTGGGGATTAAAACCAGCACCTCCTGAACTTCTGAACAGGAAAATGGGTTTGCACAGGGGGAGAGAGTCTGCAGCACGGGGTACAAGAGGAGCGGGTAATGCACAGTGACCAGGTTATTTGGTACGTAGCTTCTCCAGCTCAGTTCTGCCTGAGCAGAGCAGACAGGTTTAGTCTAGCTCAGTTCTTGTCATCTGACTCTATTTAATAGTAGTTTTAAGAAGAATTAGTTATTAAGTGATAATATTGTAATATCATGAAGACCTTTTGATCACTGGGGCTCTGGACCTGACTGAACTTACATGAGAGAAAGTCACTGGTTTTGCTCTGAACAGTTAACTGGGATATGGAAGACAATCCCCCCCTCTCCCCTCCTTCCCCATTTATATTGTTTGTGTTTTCAGGCTTCTTTACCAAAGACTGAAATGCTGATTTCCAAAGTTAAGGTTAATCAAAGCATTTTGATCTCTCAAGAGTGCAGAGAGGTACCTGGCTGATTAGAATACTTAGGTGCTCCTAAATTTATGTCAGTCCCTCATTTCTAAATATTTTCAGGTGCAGTTCAGATCTAGATCCTCATGCCTTGCTTTAGGGTGTCTGGAGGTTTCTGTGTTAGCTGGAAGTTTGACCTCCCAGTGTAGTCAGTGAAGAACATGACTAACACTGTCCAGTGCTATTTGAGATGTCCTGGAGGTTGAAGGAGCAGGTAGATTATGACACAAGACCAGGAGGACTCATTCCCCTCTGGAGCAACAGTGGGTGACAGGGTGCCTCAAATTGTTTAAGACACCTCTGTGCAGGCAGCTGAACCAAGCTGTCACCCGATGTGGTCAGGGGAATGTTTCAGCCAGCCACACATATGCTGAGGTCCTTCTTTAGACCCTGACCCTGCCTAGTGTACAAATGATGTCATTTTGGTTGCCTCATGACGTTCTACAGTGGAATTTGGTTAGAACATGGGGCTTACTTAACAAGAGTTGAGGAAAATGTCTTCTCAGTACAAATGCTAGAGATCTCAAAAATCAGAAATAGACTTTTTGTGGGAAACAAAGGTGCATGTTTTGGGGAAGGTGACTTAAATGCCAAATCAACTTGTTTACTCTCAGCTTCTACCGTAGTTCTCCAGTGCAGCCCTCTCTGCCTAATTTGCAAAACCCAAGAATTTCGTTTCTTCAGCTCACAGAATCTGCGAATACAAGTTCCCTCCTTTTAAAAGACTCCCTTCAATTCCCATTTCCTTTTCAACAGGAAATTTAATAGAGATTTATGGGAAGACAATTGCTGGAAGATATGAGACGCTGGACTTCAACATGGATTATATTGATGGGTAATTATATATAGGGTGCTGTCTGACCCAGTCCATGTAAATTGAGATTTCTTCCATCAGCCTCCTTGACAGCAATAAATTGCAACCAGTTGGCCCAGAATTGTCATTTACTTCCTTTGTGGTTTATTGCAGCTCATGAGTTGGGCTCCAGCAAACTTTGTTAATCTAATTGCAACTGGTCCATTAAGCTAGTTGGTTTGTTTACTGGCAGCACAGTCAATCACAGCTCAGTGTGAATTGTACTGTAATTGCGCCTGGTTGCTGTAGATTTTATTTTGGCTAGCAAATTAAAATTTAACTAATTAAAATAATGTCAGAATCTAAAAGTTAAATAAATTTTCCCTTCCATTTGCATTTTTAGAAAAACTATTAGTTCGAAACAGATGCTCTGGTGAGTTAAAAGACAAAGCAGAAGTATTTTGAGACAAAAGGTTTTGTTCACTGCATTAAGCCCTCCCTGGTCATGTCCTTGTTCTCAGGGAAGGTTTGATTTTTACTTTCTGCTGCTTCTATGGTTATTTGCAACAGAGCAAAGCAGGTAGATTTTAAAAATTTACTTCAGGCCAGCAGCACTTTAAGCACCGTGAGTACAAAAGGAGCATGAACACTGCCCTGCCGTGTCGTACGTATTTCCATATGTGCGAAAGCATTCTCAGATCCTACAGAGTTGATTTCCTTGCACTTGTGTCAATGGCAGTGAAGAGCTAAGCCCAAGTGAGTATTTTAAAGATGAACTAGCAATCTATAGTTACTGTGCTGGCATTTTAAGGTTCATTTCAGGTGCCAGGGAAGGTATGTATTCTCAGTAGTTAGAAATTTTCATTGCAGCAGCAGGTATTTGACCACTAGATGCTTTTTAACTAATTCTCGGGCTGAATGGAAATGTCCCTTTCTACGCAATTAAATTCTCTGCCAGTTTGAATGAAAGTCCAGGGCAGATTCCTGCCATACCAGCTGCAGCCGTTTATCAGCCCTAGTTTTGCTCACTGGATGTGCATTAACACCTCTTGTTCAATATTAATGATTGTTTTACCTGTCTGTAGTGGAACTGTGAAACCTTTGATCCAGCGGGAAGAAAGGCTGGTCTGTCTGACTGCAGGTTGGACGTGCCTGCATGCTCCATTGCCAGATTACTCATTTACAGCTCAACTTCATGATAGCCAAAGAGGAAACAACCTCAAAATCTCAACATACCAGACAAGTTCACAGTGTAGCTTCACATGAATAATTCACCCATTTTTGGTGTCTGTGGGGGCTTGGTCTTGACCAGAGAAGTCTGTCATTCTGTCACACTGATTTGGAGCAAAAAAGAGCACCGTATTTATACTGTCAGGTGTGTTCTGCGCTCTTTTCCATGCTTTGTATGGGATGCAATGGTCTAGCAATGCTGAACCAAATGTTTTGCAGCACTGAATTTTTTTTAATTAATCCTTCAAAGGAAAGGCATTCCAATATCAACAAGCTGTATTAATAAAAGCAAACTTAATAAAACCTCATAAAACTACACTCTGAAACACGAGTCATAGCAAGGCATTTGCATTACAGGTTTTAAATACATATTTTCCTCAATTGCCTGTAAATTTGCATTGCCATTCTTTGCTTATTATGCTAATTACTGTGAACTTATTGCTCCCATCTGATTCCTCTTCTCCAGTGGAAATTGTCTCTTGCCATATTGGTTCTGGAAGATAAGGGTGGGTATAGTCCTCCTGGGGCTCAGATGACCAACCCTTCCCTATGGGGAGGAGGTTACGGGGTTGTTGAGAGCTAGCATGGGTGTGTCGGATCATCCTGCCACAATCCTTACAGAAGTGCAGTTCCTACATTATTTGGGAAATACTCTTTGCAGGCTAAGGTCTGAGATTATGGTTTGTTCTGTTCCCTATGAAGTTAAGTGCTGGATGTGAGTGAGGGGAAATTCCTGTCCCATTCAAAAATATTGTCTGCTAATTTTTAACAAGGTCAGGATTTAATCTGTGAGGCTCTGACATATCACATGTCATCTTTGCTGTTTATTTTTTGTCTAGGCCAGCTGTCCTTCTGGCAGAAGGAGATGGATGGACCAGCCTCTGCTCTTTTGCTGACAGGCGAGCTGGAAGCATGTCAGTTCTTGACTTTGGTTTGTGTTGGTGCAGGGGCTCAGCACATCTTGTGGACAAAAAGAATTCTTAGCTCTTGATGAAGAACTGCTTTGTCTTAAGATGGGGAGATACCATGGGGAGTTGACCATATGGTCTGTAATGGGGTGGATGAGGGTTGCTGGCTCCCTGTGGCTGTACCCATAACCAGGCAGGGCCAGGGGTTGTTCTCTGGCCCAGAAATTATATACTATGCCCTATATCTGCTCAGCTCTTAAGAGTCCAAAACAGGTTAGCCTTTTCCAAACTGCCTATTGACCCTGGTCAAGGCAATGTCTTCAGTCGTGTATGGAAACTGATTTGAAAGGTGGATTGACCTGAGCTAAAACTGGGCAAGGAAAGCTATAAACATTTCCCATGGCAGATAGGGTCCCGTGCCTGGCCCATTTATTAGTATACTAATGAATAAATGAATACTGTTCATTTATTAGTATTAATGTACCCTTGTCTCTGTAAGTGGCAGGAGACCCTTTAGGCTGCTGATGCTTGCCCCATGCTGAATCACAGAAAAAGCCAGTGGGCTCTGCACTAGTGTTACTTTTATGAACAATTCACCTCTCAGCACCCGTGAGCGTTGGAAAAGTGAGGCTGCTTTTACAGGAAACAAGGGGAAAAGCTTGCTCCTGCAGAATTTAGTGCCTAGGCTCCTGGGGTCCTCAGCAGGTCCTCTTATTGCACTGCAAAATTCCTTCTGCCTCCCAGGAGCGGGACTTGTATGCAAATGTGTGTTGATGATGGGACTTGCGCTGTCCCATGGCTCCAGAAGCTTGATGCAATTTGGTTTAATTGCTACCTGCACCTTCTTATGGATTAGGGACATGCAGAGGAGCAAGTAGAGGGGAAATACTTCTTTTTCTCCTATTCACCCTCACCACGTGCACAGACTTGTCTCATCTCAGCTCTTATTTTAAATGGTGGTTTCAAAGGTTGCCAACAGGAACAGCTCTGGAACCAAGGATAAAGGGGCCAGGCTGGAGCATTGTGTTGCTGGGAACCATCCTCCTAAGCTGTTGAACTCCTGATCATCAGTGGGAAGATGGGTTGTTTCTCTCCCTTGTTTCGAAAGGGAGACAACCATGACTAGCTTAGATGTATAAACCCACATCTTCTCTGGGTTAGATGATTCTTACTGTATTTTGCTCTTTTTGGTCCCAAGGCTCATCAAAGTCCTTTGTCTCTCCACAGCTACCCTATTCAAGCAGAAGGTGAACTGGGGACCCTGAAGTGCCGGGTGGAAGGGAACCACATAGGTTGGTGAAAAGGGGAGGGAAAACCATGGGTTTGTTATTCCTGAAATTCTGGAGGGTAGAGAGCTGTCTGAGTTCCTGCTTTGTCTGTAAAGTGAAGAATGCGACTTGGGGCTGAGTTCACGAAACCTGCTACAGATCAAGGCTTTACTAGTCCACATAGCCACTGCCATGATTTGTGTCCTTGTCAAAGCCTTGGAGAACATGAAGAGCAGTGCTCAAGTGAAACCATGGCGTGGTGTGGACATTACTGACAGCAACAATGTCATTTGGGGTCTTTGCTCAGTTTACTACCTTAATCCTTCTTGCCTGTGATGGACCTTCTCTTTAATGCTTTATTAGAGGAATAAGTTGGGTTCTCCATTCTATTCATGGTCTCTGGTAGCAAGTGGGATCCCTTTCATTTTTCCTTGTTTCCAAGCACTCTGAAGAAAGTTCTGGTTTCTTCTGGAGGCTTTGAGCAGCAAGCTTCCTGCTTGGGAAAGGTGATCTGAGTTTTAAATATATTAAAAACTCAAAGGAACCTGGTCTAGTGGAGGGTGTCCCTGTTCATGGCAGGGGGTTGGAACTAGATGGCCTTTAAGGTCCCTTCCAACCCAAACCATTCCATGATTCCAATCTAGCTGTCATGTAGACTCTTGAAGGCACAGTACAATAGCCTAAGCTTTTGAGGTATCTAGGAACTCTCCAATGCAGTGTCAGAGATAATGAAGGTCTTGAAGGAGGGCTGCAGCTTCCTAGCATGGCAGGTGAGGTCAGCTAGGACTCACAGTGTCTAAGATGACACAGAGCACTTGTGCTTACTCAACCAATTCCTGCTCCTGAGATTCAGCTTGCAGATTCTGATACAGAACTAAGTACCCACAGTATAGTGTCTTCCTACAGTCTAAACTCCCTAAGCTGATATTTGGTCCAGTTCCTGCACACACAGTCTGCTGAAATCAGCACAGTTATATTGCTGTAAACAAAGTGTCAGTAAGAGGAGAATTGGGCCCAGGGCACCTGGACAAGTTTTGGTAGGATGCACTCTTCATGGAGCCTTCCACTCTTCTGCCATAAAGCATATCACTTTTCTCTCCTCCAGGGTCCCACAATGTTAGTTTCTCGGTGTTTAACAAAGGAAAGTGAGTAAAAGATTCTTTTAATATCTTTTTTTTTTTTTGTGCTTTTGCACTGGGACACAGTTGCATTTGAGCCCAGGATAAGTGCATGATATTTTTACTGAATCATGTGTTTAATTGTTTAGAAATGAGGTTTTGCTCTCTTAAATTATTATCAGATTGGGAATGAAAACGGAGAATGATCTTCCACCAAGACACCTCCACTGCAGGGTTTTAATGCTTCAGCATCAGTGCCCAAAGCATCAAAACTGTTAAGCCTACCTGAATATGATCCTTTCACCTCGCTTTTAACTCTTCATCCAAGTGGGAAAGAATTTAGCCACAAAAATAGGTGGTACTGTGTTTTGATGCTGTCAAAAACGTACTGTACAACGGGACAGTACTTCTGTTAAAGAGTTTCAGCCACATAATGGAGTCTCTTGAATCAATGTCTCGATGTGCTGGTGAAAGGTGTTGTTGGTCCTTGTAGAAATGTTTCAGTGTGCCTCTGGAGAGCGAGAGTCCAGCTCTGCCAAAAGAAGGTCTACTTTAACCTAAATGGCCAAGGAGATCTCAGGCACTTTTTTTTTTTTCCCTTGCAGGTCATCAGTACACAAAGGTGCTTGGCTCATCAGTGCCAAACAGGAGCTTTTCTTGTATCAGACACATTCAGGTATTGCACTGATCCACCTCACTGGCTGCACTGTCCCTTGGCAGCCCCACGGGCTAAGGAAGGACCCTTCTCACTGTTGCTCTTCCCAAGGATGTAATTGTGCTGCATTCCCAACTTGGTTGTGCCACTTCCCTGGTAGGGGTTTGACTACACAAAAAGCTGCAGATCAAAAATTTCAGGAAGACCAGAATTTCA